ACTTAGCAAGTCATCCGGCCACTGTAATATGGTTCATGCGCAAGCGTGAAAGCCCTTGATCCTCGACTTTCATTCAAAGCCTTCTCTTTGAACACTCGGGAACTACTTCCCTAACCTTGATAGCCTTGCCTCATGGCAAGTTTCAAGACCACGCTTCTATTGCGCCACTCTGATTTCGCGCGTTCCTTGAACCATTTATGTTTGGCCTTTTTAGGTATTAAGCTACCTAGAATCCTCTTTGGGAACCTTGAAGGAACTCTGTCCCTTAGCTTGCTAAGGCCCCCCTTTTTGCAAGCTTTCCAATTACCATATAGCCTAACATGGACAATTCCATATTTTAGACTCTCCATGGCATCACGGTTGCTAGCGGCAACACCCTTGAGCCCCCACTTGATTCTCCACTCCTAGCTGGCATAACCAACCTTGGTTATGCCCTTCAATTCCTATGGTTCGGTTTTATCCCCTTACTTTTTGCTTTTGGCTTCACACCTTTCCTTCGGTCATTCTCCTCCAGACCAAGAGGATAGCTTTGCACTTTCTATCATGCCTTAGCAAGTATTCTTAGGGATGAACCTACCCGATAGCCTAGGGAGTGGTTCCTCAATCCAGGTATGCTCACCCTATAATCCCACACGCCGGGATTACGTTGTTGCTTACTGGCCTTTGCATGCCCATCGCTAGCCTTGCCAAAATTCCATTTTTGGCTTTATCCAATTCGAGTAGACAGTCTTCTCCTATCTCCGCCACCTTGGACATTTGGATAGCACCTACTATCCATCATTCGCTAGGGACTTAGTCCCTTGGGCCTTATCTACTGCCCTCGCGACATCAAACACCACCTCCTGGTGTTATAGAGTGTTCGGGTGTCCCAATGACGGCTTCCTTGACAATGAGTATTTCCTTTTATAACATTGACTTACTATATTGCAACATAAGCAACTTATCCCCCGTAAGGGTATATCCAACTTCCCTATGCCATCAAGAAGGTTTGGGTAGCTACCTTCTACCCGTTTAACCAATTATTTTGCACCTCTTGCTTAGTTGCCCTCGTAGTTGTCAAGTCCTACAACTCATTGCTGGTGCTTCCACACCTCCATCATCATCTGGGTCACCACACTCCAACTGCATGCTCTGCAGCTTAGGCTATGCCATTCCCATTTCTATTGGGATTCCTTTGGCAAGGGGTTCTCATGAACCCACCAACATAGCCTCAAGGTATCACACCTTGGCACATTTGGTGTCTCCACACCATCGGCTCCACGAGCCTACCTCTATGACACTTCTTCTTTGTGTTTAAGTCTTTGCCAAGACCAATACCACTCTTTCTCATGCCAACCATCTGTTAGCACTGCATCATAGAGGTCACACACAACTTTGTGTTAAAATTGTTTTCTTTTTGGGAACACCTTTCCCACGACTTTAGCATGGCACATTTTGCCATCGATGAGATACCCTCTGTTCTCATCCTTGGATCCTATGATCCCCCCCCCCATCCTTTGTGGGGTACAACACACCTCAGTCCAAATGCTTCCATCAGTCCTTTTAGGACCATCCCTTGACTCTACTTGAGTCATCTAGCAGTTTTGGACTTGGTTAATCCACAGACCCGTAAGGTCCTACTTGTGAGGCACTAGCTCACTGGAATACACTTCTTGCATTCCTGTCCTACCCAAAAGGACTATTTTCACAAGTGTTACTCTGACACTTGATTTTGTTCTCTGGGGGCAACCTTTGCCCCTTAGGACTACTTGTCCATGTGATGAGAGTACCAACTCATCCACTTAATACACCCCCAACTCCTTGGGCTGTTCCAGCATTTATTAGAGGTAGCCCTGGCTACCATTTCGAGGACTCGTGTCCTCATCCATACTTGACCTCTCACGGTCATCCATTCCGGTCTCACCTTCATGAGCACCAGCCTCAACCATGTGAGGATAAACTTGTGACTCCTTTATTGTTTTTGGAGTCTCTATCTTCCCCGTGATCCCAACTATAGTTGTTTACCCCAACTACATTAGCCCATTTGCTGAGTCAAACGCTCATCTGGATCACCTCCTCAACTCAATGAGGAAAACCTTGCACTGTTCCCAAGATCCCAAAGTCGTTCCATTATTGGCCCCTTTTTTATCCACCACCTTGTCTACAAGTTCACACATGAACTGTAATGGAGAGCCATGTCTTCCCGACCTGCTACTCCTCAAGGATAGGCCCACTTCTCGGACCTTCCGTTGCCAACACTAGTGGTGATATACTTGAGCACCAATAAAAGTCGGACTAAGGAACAGCTCCGATACCAAGTTGTAAGCGACTAATTTTTCCATTTTACTTTAGTCACTTAACCACACCTCCGACCACTTGGAGGAGTCTCATTCACAACCTCCATAAGTCCAACTCAGGACTTGGGGCTTGCTAGCCCCGAGAACGGCATCCATGCCACTCAACCTTAGCACTTTGTCCAAGTGCTCCACGTGTCCGATCCCATGACCAACACCCCAAGGCACCACCAACACATCAGCCCGTTACGCTAAGGCCATGCCCATTCACCTTAGTCACACCGGTGGTCTAACACCACCTACACCACAGTCCTATCTCTCAAAGGCTAGGGCATCTGTGCATGAGGGATCATCCCCGATCCACTCCTTAGCATCCTTAGGATGCCCACAGACATGGGGAATAGCCCTCCCCAATATCCCCTTTCTGGTCCCTACCAAGCCCCTTTCTGGCCATGACCGTATTTGCCAACACTGCCACTGGATCAAGGCCCATAGGCCCGACCACTAAGTCCCACGGTCCTCTGGGACTTCCTCACCACACGATCGTATCCTTAGTCACTACACCAGAGGACTACTCCTTTGCCTTTCCACAGTCTGGGCCTTCGGGACAACATTTCGGAACACCGTGGCCTTACGCAAGCCTCATGGGTACTCTCCCCGCCTTTCGCCTTTAGGTGCTCTAGCCATGGGCTTAGAGCGAGGTTCCGTTGAGCCACGACAGGTATCCAAGTAGGTAGTGCCACCCACACTTGGACTAGGAGCATCGGCCAGTCGATCTCCCGGGGGAACTAGAGCCGGCTCTTGAACACTTCACCAAGCTACCCCGCTTGTCGGTCTGTGTTCACTCTAGTCTTGGACTTCCTAGTGGGCAGCTCATCACCCAACACTGGGTCCGGCCTTCCTGGGCCAAACTGGCCTTTCCTGGCCAAACTGGCTCCACTGCAGTCCTCCCCCTTACTATACTTTTGGAGCTCACCAAACCCCCCAGGGTCTGGGAAACGAACGCTTTGGGCTTTCACCCTCTCAGACTCGAACTCGGACTCGGACTCGGACTCGGACTCCGACTCGGGCTCGGTCTCGGCCTCGGCCTCGGTCTCGGTCTCGGTCCCGATCTCGGTCTCGGTCCCGGTCTCGGTCTAGACTTCGGACTCCATCTCAGGTCCATCTCGGACTTCCATCTCGGACTCCATCTCGGACTCCATCTCGGACTCCATCTCGGGTCCATCTCGGACTCCATCTCGGGTCCATCTCGGACTCCATTTCGGGTCCATCTCGAACTCCATCTCGGGTCCATCTCGGACTCCACCTCGGACTCCATTTCGGGTCCATCTCGGGTCCATCTCGGACTCCATCTCGGACTCCATCTCGTGCCCATCTCGGGTCCACCTCGGACTCCACCTCGGACTCCATCTCGGGTCCATCTCGGACTCCATCTCGGGTCCACCTCGGATTCCACCTCGGGGTCCATCTCGGACTCCACTTCGGACTCCATCTCGGGGTCCATCTCGGACTCCACTTCGGACTCCAACTCGGGTCCATCTCGGACACTTCCACATGTCATGTGTTGGTCCTTTTTGGGTCCCTTTTTGGAGCCTCGCCTATGGCTCGCTTCGTGCTCATTCCTCGAGCACTTCTTTGGGAGTTCCACTCCCGCTCTTATCTTTTCAAGTCGGAGCTTTTGGTCCAAACGTGTTATGCTCGTTTGGCTCTCGCTTCGGCCACTACCACGTGGCGCCCTTCCGGCTCCACTTTGGGGCCTAGGGATTTTGTGTCTCACAAAAGTCTTTGCATATGCAACTTGAGTCAAAAATTCTAACAAAAGTTCAACAGGAATCGCTAAAATAATTGCTTTGATACCAAACGTAATGCACCTGAATTTGGAGCTAAACTCCAAGTCTGCTGCGTTATGAAATGAGGGTCCCATACACTCTTAATCTTACAAGCACCAACTCCTTGTATCTAACACTTACATGCAAAACAGTGTCAGATGGTGTCTGGCACGATTTTGACATACTAGTGGCCTAACGCGAGGAGAAGGGTACCCCACCGACTAGAACAACATGGAACTTATTAGGATTTTGAAATCACAATCAAAACGGTATAAAGTTTGGATTAAATGAAACCAAGTCTAATAATGAGTCTTAGAACAACTTTAAGATTGAGTCCAAAACCAAATCTAAAACCATTCATCCCTTAGAGCTCTAACCTTCATTTTATCCTTGGCAATACAAAATGGGTAATGCAATTGTGTGAATTTTATTGGAGATAGAAGCCCAAGCCCTTCGAATAGACATGATGTATACACTTGTGACCACTACATGAACCATTACCCAAAGGGCAACAGTGAGTCACAGGCTGAAAGCACAAGAGACTAAGTGGGTGACTCTAGGCACATTAAAGGTGGAGACAACAAAAAACATCCACTATGGAGACAATCATTTATGCAGCTTATTTAAATCCCTTGGGCTTCTTGGGGGTTGCCATAAGGCCATGTAAACAGAATATGAATGAATGCTACTTTCCAGTACTGACTAGCACATAAATTGTTAAGCAGAGCAAAACCATACTAAAGTACATTCTCCCACTAGGATGAGATTAAACACAGCATAAATTTAATGGTGCTTGAACATGATAATCATGACTGTACAGTCCTCTTGTCTTCTATATGGATTTGGGAAGACATGGACTACATTGGCAATCTTCTTCAAAATGGCATTTCTAAATCTTTTGATTTCATGTTTCATGGTGGGCATATATAAATGAATGAATGATTCAACATCAAAATTTAAAAACAATTTCATTGTGTTACGTTGACAGCCAAAAGTGACCTGTTTTGCTACTTGTGAAACTCCAGGATTGCTAGTCCATTGGAGACGTTGACAAGATGCACTTTGTTGAAACCAGCTTGTTCGGCGAGCGCCTGATACTCTTCAAAGGTCCGCTCCTTGCCGTTGAAATTAACCATCATGACAAGATCTAGGAGCAGTCCGATTCGCAACTCAAACTCACTGGCAGCTTGATAAGCTTCAGAAGGTAGTAAAACTTCCACGACAATGACTTTCCCTCCCTGAGCAGGAAGGGATTTGTAGCAGTTTTGCAGGATCTTCAGGCACTGTTCGTCGTTCCAGTTGTGGAGAATCCACTAGAAAGGAATGAAACACCAGATTGGCAAGGAGAATTTGACTCTGGATCCTTTACCTTCAACATGATTGAATCTCCTTGGGGAATTGATCCGAACATGTCGCCACCAGCATGCTCCACTCCTGGAAGAAGTAAACAAAGAGTGCTTGAATGATCGAGCATGAAAAATCTGTGAGAGGATACCTTCAGATGCAATTCCCTGAGAAACAACATGGGGCTGATCGAAATTTATGCCTTTGATATGCGGATAGCGAGTTCGAATGTCACACAGCAATGCTCCATTGCCGCCACCAACATCGACCAGAGTTTTGATGCTTGCAAATCCCTTGTAGCAATCCAGCAGCACAGCACTGGACCTCTTGGAATGATCGGCCATGCAGAGGTTGAAGCTGTTGTTGAATTCCGGCTCCTCAGCCACAAGCTCGTATGCGGTTTTGCCGTGGGCTTTGCGGAATGGCTCGCCACCATCAAGAATGCCTTCGGCAAGATGCTCGAAAGGCTTGAGGAAGATCCGGTGATTGCACATGACACTCAAACCACGCGCTGCCAATTTCGTTCCTGGAGAAAAACGCTTGCCTATCTCGGAGAGCCCATACTTGCGCTGCCCCTGCACAACGGTCTCGTTCACAACCCCGTAAGTTGCCAGAACTCGGAGAGTTCTGTCCAGAAATGCAACATTCGCAGATGGGTTGTTTGTAATCCGGGAAACAATCTCAGAAGCAGAGAGGACCGAATCTGCTATCTCGTCGAAGGCTCCCAGCTTCACCACCGCATTGAGAGCGAGGGGGATAGTAGCATAGAGGACGAGCTCCTCACCAGGAGCAAACGCAGCCATGAAATCCGAGGTGAATGGTGAAGATGAAACAGCGTGCCACAGGTGGATTGTGAAACTTTGAGGGAGCACTATAAACTAAAATGGAGCTCTACAAACAAGTGAGCAAATTCTACGCTTTTTATATCGACAGAGACCTAGATTTTGACTAGTGGTTGGTCACATTGAGTGCCTGCTGCGTGCAACCATGGGACTCTTCCATCACAGAAGGTGACATACCACACATTGTTTGCATTTCCAGACAATTGTTGAATCTTCTGTTTCCGTTTTGGAAGTTCTACTTTGAAATCGATCCATGGACAAGTCCAAATCCAAAGCCTCTACTGACTTAAGTATGAATCATGAGACAACTTTTTGTAACTGAATTTATTTGTAGTCTATTTTTTTTCAATAACTTGTTTCAAATTCATTGAATTAAAACATTTATTTTATATTATTATTTAATTGCTTACATGCTACAGAAATCCCTTCTCTTTGAAGCTCTCCACTGAATCAAACAGACACTTCCCAATGTTTATCAGCTCTGATTCCAGCAATTGACGGGCTTTGGCATTGCATATCTTGTATGGAACGGCTTCAGGATTTTTGGTGTCTGAGCAGATTTTAGGAACTGGGAGCTGCGGGTACAGCTCTGCCAGCATTTCCACAAGCCTCGCCCTGTGGATCGATCTCTCTGCCAGAAAATACCTCCCAAATGCTTTTGGATCTTCGAAAGCCGCAACATGAGCCAGTGCCACATCCCTCACGTCCACATATGCCTGGCAGCGATTTGCGTAGCTCTTCACGCATCCGGTCAGATACTTGAGAATGTGGGTGCTGCTCGCATTCAGCTTGGGCTGAAGAACTGGACCCATCACGACTGCTGGGTTGATCACAATCAGTTTGAAACCATTGCCTTGGGCAGCAGCGAACTCCCATGCGGATTTTTCAGCCAGAGTCTTCGCCAGGCAGTACCACTCCTTGATCTGGACAAGGTACTCCACATCGCTCCAGCATGATTCATCCACTGGCTGCTCCAGAGGCCGAGTTGGATCCAAATACATGGCACCCACCGAGGACGTCATCACAACAGTGGAAACTCCAGAACTGAAGCTGGCTTTCAGGACGTTGAGTGTGCCTTTCACTGAAGGCTCGATCAGCTCGGTCTGCGGATTAGTAATTCGGAAATTCGCCTCTGGACAGGGGCATGCCGTGTGGATCACAACTTGGCAACCTGCAGTTGCCGCGACTAGGCTATTGTCGAGCAAATCAGCTTTTACGAGCTCCAGCCTCTGGTTGGCCCCCTTGAGATTTTTGAGGTGTTCCACCTTGCGCAAATCCTCTGGATCTCGGACTGCTCCACGTACAGTATAGCCTTTGTCAAGGAGGTATTTGACAATCCAGGATCCAATGAAACCCGATGCTCCAGTGACACAAACCATCATCCCTCGCAACTGAGCCATCATCCCTCACGTCTGGTGTTTACTCTCAACATTTCTATTTATAAGACCTGAAAAATTGGATCATTGTAAGTAATCCAAAACTTGGAAGGTCAAATAAAAGAGGCGCAAGAAGATCTTTTATTCGCAAGAAAGTTCAAATTTTTGGGTGGGTGGGAGAGATTCCGGGTCCTCCCATGTTATAGGATTCGTGCTGTGAGGGCTGAATGTTGCGAGATCTACTGAAACGAACATCCGGGTCGTCCATCATAGTGTTTGGGCCGTCCTGCCCAGGAAGGACATCAAGAATGTTTCTTGAAGGAGGTAGATGTAAGGTCAAATAAAGGAGTGATTTTCTCCCATGCTATACATATGTAGCTTTTGCCTGGGATCCGCCCTGAGCCACAGCATGCCATCCCCCACCGCTCTTATTATCACTCTGGAGGACAGAATGAGGCATAAGAACACTGCCTGTAAAAGACTTCACTTGTAAAACTACCACCTGTAGTCATTCGGCCCTTGTCAAGCACAAAGATCTCAGGCTCGTGCTTTCAAGGTCCGTCACATGGGCAGCTCTGTGAATACTTGCTGGTGTATAAATTCTCTACGGCCCTCGTCTCAGCTCTGCCTCACCAATAATGGATGTCATCTCGGTTCTTCTTGTCGCACTCGTGCTTGCATTTTCTGTTCTATGGATGGTGTGCAGCTTCCTCATGCGCTACTATTGGGTGGCCAGTGCTCTCCGTCCAGTGATGGAGAAGCAAGGCATACGAGGCTCACCCAATCCTCCGAATCCCATCTTTGATGTTTTCTATGGGAAGCCTGACATGAAGGAGATCAGCCACGATATTCTGCCTCATGTTCTTCCCTGGGCCGCACAGCACATCAAATTCTATGGTGGGATTCAATTTAATTTCACAACATTATTAGTGTACTTTCAAATTCACTTTGACTTTCAGGGAACGTACACTTGAACTGGTGGCTGCGGGAGCCCCGGATTGTGATCTCAGAGCCCAAGATAATATGGGATCTGTTGATGAAGAAGCACAAGGATTTCGTCAAGTCCCACTTCATCAAAGTCTTTTCTGATGATATCTTTCATAAGGGTCTCTTCCATGCAAATGGAGAAGATTGGGCCCGGCAGAGACAGATTGTAGCGCCCAGATACTACATTGACGAAGTCAAGGTGATACTCCATTAACAAAGTCAAAGTCTAAGGTTGACTGAACTCTATTGCACAGGCAATGGTTGGAGCTGTGAACAATGCAACAAGCCAAGTCATGGCAAAATGGGAAGCCTTTGTGAAGGACAGTGGAGACGTGGAGAGGGAGCTGGATGTTCAAGTTGAGTTCATGAACTTGAATGTGGATGTTGTAGCGAGGACAACACTGGGGTTGGAAAACAGTGACTTTCAGAACATTCTCAAGTATAGCATCACATTGCTCAACCTGCAAGATGGTCAAGAGACCTGGAGCTGGTTACCATTTGCCAGGTACAGGTGGCTTAAGGAAAAAGCATATGAACTGTACTGACTTACGGAAGATATTGTGGTGCAGGCTGATCCCCTTCGGTATAAACGTTGAACGGTGGAAAGTACGGAAACAGTTTAATGACCTTGTTCGTAAGCAAGTGAGAGAGAGAAGAAAGAGGACGACAGGCAATAACGTTGATTTTATTGGGATGCTCTTGGATAATCCAGATGTTAGAGAAGACGTGATTGTCGCCGAGTTGAAAACACTCTATGCTACAGGGTTTATCAGCTTGGCCCCACTTCTCTCATTCACAATGTTGATGCTGGCTCTCTATCCCGATTGGCAAGAGAAGGCAAGACAAGAAGTTGACCAAGTTCTGGATGGAGAAGTTGACCAAGTTCTGGATGGAGAAGTTGTTAGTCCCAAAGATGTCAGCAAGCTAACCACGGTAACCAGTTAATCAGATTTGTCCTTTGATCCACATAACTGAGCTTGCTGTATGGTTCTTGTTTGTGCAGATTGAGATGATTCTGCGAGAGACATTGAGGCTGTATCCCACAATGCCGCTCATCGCCAGGGTGTGCATTAAAGACACTATGCTGGGGGACGTGTTCATTCCCAAAGGACTGGGGGTGAGCGTTAATGTCGTTGCGCTGCATCATGACCGAGATCTGTGGGGAGATGATGTAAATGAATTCAACCCATCCCGCTTCAAGAATGGTACTGCAACTGCAGCCAAGCATCCCATGGCGTTCATGCCATTTGCCTATGGAGTTCGAACCTGCATTGGAAGGGCCTTCTCTGAGATGCAGTGCAAAATAATCATTGCTAACATCCTTCAGAGATTCGAGGTTAAATTGTCTCCAAATTACCGGCACCACCCAGTCATTACAGGACCCCTGATCCCAAAGCATGGCATGCCTGTCATACTCAAGCCAAGGCGGAACTTCTAAGACAAAAAGATTTTAAAATAAATCTGTTTAGATATAAAAACCTTTATTCATGTCCAGAAAATAACACTCGGCATTTGCTCTGAGAATCGTGTTCCACGGACGGAGGGGCAACAACATCGATCTGACCTACCCTTCCATGTACATGTTGGCCAGGAGAATGTAGCCAGCTGAATCCATAGTGGCACAGATAGCAGCCCGCGAGAGAAACCAGCACGAAGGGCGTTGAACAGATCCTCGGCAAAACAAGAAACTTCCCCAACTCATTCGTCTCACCTACCTGTCACTGAAATCTGTCCAGCCTTCTCGTAAGGATCATAAGGCAGCAGCTTGTGAACATCCGGCCACCCATTGTCGATGCAGTCGACGATGTGGGATCTTCTTGTACACCGGAATTGCCTGCAGAAGCTCCTTGCTCTTGTCTCCTCCTGGTGATGGTGCTCCACACCCTTGATAGTCAAGGGATACTGATCTCGCAAGCCGAACATGCTCGGCCAGAAATTGAGAACTTGCGAAGCCGCCGTAAACCCTGCTCGATCCAGATGCCCGTAGCCTGATCGTCCGGGCGATTTCATCCCACTGCGGCATCAGACTCAGCAGATATAGCTTGATATTCCCAGCGGATACGTTTTGCCACACAGTCTAGGAGACTACATCCTTCTTCGAAGCAATCGCAAAGAACAGGGATTCAGTCCCCTTCTCCGCAAATGCCAGAAGCCTCGTGGTGAATAAGACCAGGCTTTGGCAGGGCATCGAATCGAACACACCGTCCCAGATTGCAGGTAGCCAATTAGAAGCAAGCTTTTTGTAGGATCAAAAGTCAGCGCTTTGAACAATATACTACTCGGGACTTGCCTGTTGCAATTGGAAGAGTTGAAGTGCTTGCCTCACATCCATCTGCTGGGGATTCTGCTCATACTATGATCTCCAAAGCTTTTGGATTGCCAGATGCTGCTATCCAAGAATCCAATAATAATCCTTCCCAGCTCCAGCATACATTTAAATGTTAGATGGTAATGAATAAATTTAGAATATACTTTGATATTTTGGGATATTTTATCAACTAATGGTTGTTATTTATTTAGATTAATTCTGTATTTATAATATATAAATAACTTTATAATTTATAAACTTTCATAAACACTTTTAAGTATATTCTAGTTTATTCTACCTTCTAATAGTTGATATATAATAAGATTAATCTTGTGTTATAAATTATAAATATGTTAATTAATTATAAACTTCCATTTGATCAATTGGATAATAAATAGAATAACACAACTATTAACTTAAGCAAACAAAGCATTTCTATGCGATGACTAGTATGTTTATTTGTATAAGATTATTATTGCAATTTAAATGACTTGTATTATAACAAGTTTTTATGCTTAAGAAAATATAGATAATATTTATCTCACATGTTTTCATTGAAACAAAAGTTGTTGTTATTTTCAAATATTATATAAGTTATTAGTGTCAGGAGCATGTCATTGAAAGAAGGGAAAAAAATAAACTACCAATAAAATATTAAAGAAAAAATAGATTTGTGCTAAATGGATCAGTCCAACCTCAAACTAATCCAAAAACCTAATTTAAATTTAGAATCAATATATGATAACAGTTCTTGAGTTCAAATCCCATCAACAAATGTTTAAATTAAAAACGCACTTCATACCAAGCACTAATAAGCAATTTAAGTGGTGTAAGACTTAGTTTGCATAGATATTGCTAATAAAAATTTATAATCAACTCAAAAAAATAAAAGTGAGAATTAGACTCCTTTAGCACATATGAATTTGGAGTCAAAGTACAATCCTATTGCATTACGAAATAAAGATTAAATATACACTCAAAATCCCCTCCCTGCATTAGATAGTATTTGCTAAGATTATTCCCTATATTACTAAATGCACCACATGTGGTTTTGACTTTATACTTTATAATAAATCATCATAATTATCATAAGATAACCAAGGTGCAAAGCCTAACTCTTCAATATATGTGCCAAAAGTAATAAAGTGAGATCCGAGTTTCAAGGTTAACTAACTCTCAATATACAACCAATGAGCGAAGTAATAAGAGTACAGAATAACAGAGGATCAATATTAGAGTTAAACACCAAAAACAATATGGCCAAAAGTGGAATTTGACATTATTTTATAAATACTCCATATGGCAAGTCAAACTCAAAACAAAGATAAACATGCCCAGTAAGAAATTAGATAATATCTCAAGTTGGGTCAACCATGCCAAAAACCTCTTATTATACATTTAAAACCATTCCAAAAAACTCTTTCAGCCCTTAACTGAAGAGAAGATTGTGGTTTTCCCATCTTGCTTCCCAAGTATGTTGAAGAGGTTTCCACTCTCATAATCCTTGATGACATTGAACCAAAGGTGGTACACCAGATTGCAATCTTTTTTCAAGTTTTCTTTGCAATCTCCTCAAAGTCCTGCAGTAAAAAACAATTTCAAATGTAAAACTATATAGCCAATACTACAAGAAACAGCCTTTGGGATGTTCTCACAGGTTAGCAATTCGTTGATAACGTTTGTTTTGTTGGCTCACATTGTTTTTCTTTCTCTCAGGTGTCTACTTGTACAAACTGTGGTGGTGAGGGTGAAGTGATTTTCGATCACTGCAGAAAATGTGGAGGCAAAGGAGGTATTCGACCAAAAAAAACAATCAAACTAAGTGTTCCATGTGGAGTTGACAGCGGGAGCACTCTCCGTGTTGCTGGTGGAGGAGATGCTGGAGAAAGAGGGTGAGCTTAAATCTTGTGCTTGTTCTATATAGTTTCTTTCTGATTGACTGTACCCTTTCTCAGTGGTCCATCCGGGGATCTCTACGTCAATCTTAAAATCAGAGACATGCCTGGAATTCGAAGAGACGGCATCAATCTTTACTCCGAGATCTCTGTGAGCTATACGGAATGTATACTCGGGACAACAAAAAAGGTATGTTTCGCTGTTCTCTCGTATCTTAGTTGTATAAAACACAACTCTAACAGGTGAAGACGCTGGAAGGATTCTCGGATCTTCGTATTCCTGCGGGAACTCAACTAGGGGCATGTATAACTCTTCCGAAGATTGGTGTTCCAAGGCTTCGAAAGACCTTATCTTTTTCTTCTTCTACAGTGCCGCTGAGAAAGAACTCGTGGAAGAACTGGCTCGTCTCGAGAAAACATTGGCAAGTGTAAGCGTGTGTCATCCCCCATGTAAAAGCCAACAGTGGAGATTGAATCGAGTTCTACCATCCTATCCACTGAAAGAGCTGTGTAAGGATTCCTTTGTTCGTCTGGCAATGGCTTTGACGAAACAATCTTGGTACTTTTGGCTACATTCCTAGGATCTCACAAATTTGGCGATGTCCTTATTAGAAGTTTTTAGTGCTTTAGAAAAATAACATGTTAACAATATATAAGGCATAGCTTCATCAAATCTTAGGCATTGAGGAGACATGGTTGTTGGAAATTTTTTGTGGATGTTGCTCTCAGCCAATGGGAGAGCCTCACAGCTTGGGTCTTCAGTTAGACAAGATATTTAACACATGTCCAGTTGAGTTTAAAGGTGAACTTTGTGGGCCGCTAGATAGTGCCATCTGATGGGGGTGGGTTATAGATGAGAGGATAGTTGAAGCTGCTGGTGAGCTATTGGAAGACTTGAAGGATTGATACATCGAGATGCCTCTTGTGGCTATAAAGGTTTCCCATTGTGTCATATTCAACACGTTCAACCACAGGAAGGTGAATGAAGATTGGGTTCAACAGTTGATGCAGTCCGTGCTCAAGAATCCACAAGTCCCGGACATTGGTGTTGTAATACCATATAAAAAAAAGGGGGGGGGGGGGCAATGCAATCCACATTACTCACTCGTTTCAAAGATGAGTACTTGGAGCGCTCCAACGTGAAGTTTCTCATAGTCTCCAGGCAACACTTACGCCTCCCAACATGCCATAGAGTATCAAGGACAAGTTTCAGTTCCACATCGACTTCTTTTGAGAAGGTCATCACAATATCGTCTACAGCAAACACCAACAAAAAGGAGTGGTTCAAGTCTTACATCTGGGAGATGCTTGAACACACTTGTTTCCATTGGAAGAAGTTGGATTGTCCAAGGAAGCTGGGCACTGGAAAAGCAAAGAAGGGGATTTCCTTTCAGGTTAGTCCAATCATGATAACAGGAGATCTCTTGTACTAAATTGTTTTTTACTGCAGGACTTTGAGGAGATTGCAAAGAAAACTTGAAAAAAGATTGCAATCTGGTGTACCACCCTTGGTTCAATGTCATCAAGGATTATGAGAGTGGAAACCTCTTCAACATACTTGGGAAGCAAGATGGGAAAACCACAATCTTCTCTTCAGTTAAGGGCTGAAAGAGTTTTTTGGAATGGTTTTAAATGTATAATAAGAGGTTTTTGGCATGGTTGACCCAACTTGAGATATTATCTAATTTCTTACTGGGCATGTTTATCTTTGTTTTGAGTTTGACTTGCCATATGGAGTATTTATAAAATAATGTCAAATTCCACTTTTGGCCATATTGTTTTTGGTGTTTAACTCTAATATTGATCCTCTGTTATTCTGTACTCTTATTACTTCGCTCATTGGTTGTATATTGAGAGTTAGTTAACCTTGAAACTCGGATCTCACTTTATTACTTTTGGCACATATATTGAAGAGTTAGGCTTTGCACCTTGGTTATCTTATGATAATTATGAGATTTATTATAAAGTATAAAGTCAAAACCACATGTGGTGCATTTAGTAATATAGGGAATAATCTTAGCAAATACTATCTAATGCAGGGAGGGGATTTTGAGTGTATATTTAATCTTTATTTCGTAATGCAATAGGATTGTACTTTGACTCCAAATTCATATGTGCTAAAGGAGTCTAATTCTCACTTTTATTTTTTTGAGTTGATTATAAATTTTTATTAGCAATATCTATGCAAACTAAGTCTTACACCACTTAAATTGCTTCTTAGTGCTTAGTATGAAGTGTGTTTTTAATTTAAACATTTGTTGATGGGATTTGAACTCAAGAACTGTTATCATATATTGATTCTAAATTTAAATTAGGTTTTTGGATTTATTGGTAGTTTTTTTTTTCCCATCTTTCAATGACATGCTCCTGACACTAATAACTTATATAATATTTGAAAATAACAACAACTTTTGTTTCAATGAAAACATGTGAGATAAATATTATCTATATTTTCTTAAGCATAAAAACTTGTTATAATACAAGTCATTTAAATTGCAATAATAATCTTATACAAATAAACATACTAGTCATCGCATAGAAATGCTTTGTTTGCTTAAGTTAATAGTTGTGTTATTCTATTTATTATCCAATTGATCAAATGGAAGTTTATAATTAATTAACATATTTATAATTTATAACACAAGATTAATCTTATTATATATCAACTATTAGAAGGTAGAATAAACTAGAATATACTTAAAAGTGTTTATGAAAGTTTATAAATTATAAAGTTATTTATATATTATAAATACAGAATTAATCTAAATAAATAACAACCATTAGTTGATAAAATATCCCAAAATATCAAAGTATATTCTAAATTTATTCATTACCATCTAACATTTAAATGTATGCTGGAGCTGGGAAGGATTATTTGGATAGCAGCATCTGGCAATCCAAAAGCTTTGGAGATCATAGTATGAGCAGAATCCCCAGTAGATGGAATGCAACCTGTGAGGCAAGCACTTCAACTCTTCCAATTGCAACAGGCGATGCAAGATTGTCCCGGTCCACAATACCAAAGAGAAAGCTTGGGATTTCCAACACCCTTCAAAGACTTCTGTGCATCTGTCAGGAGGAACACCTTGTCACCCACCTTGAACTCCCAGTGCTGGCGATGTTCATTAGCCAATCACTTGTCTCGCTCCTAAGCTCGTCACATATTTAACTTGGCCAACTCCAAGGTCTCTTGCATATGACCTAGAAACTGCTGAGCATGATGCACCTTGACCAATGACAAGCTGAGGTCCACTGGAGACTTTGGTTCATAACCATACATCGCCATGAATGGAGACATCCCAATAATTGAATTCTAACCACTGTTGCATGTGAACTCAACCAACCACAACTACTGTTCCCAAACAGCATGCTTCTTGAGATTCCTCACGAATGATCTCAACATGTCCTCTAACACCACTTGTTCCGTATGCCCATCAGATTGTGGATGCTCACCATTACTCATGCTTAGCTTCATCTCTAACTTCATGAATACTGCCTGCCAAAACTTTGAAGTAAACTCTGGATCACAATCACTGATAATATCGGCTGAGGCAAGCCATATAGACGGAAGAGCTCTCTCACAAACACTTGAGCAAGATCAAAAGCCTTTAACATCATCTTTACAAAGAAGAAGTGTGCCATCTTCACTAACCAATCCACAATAACCCAGATAACATCATTTCCACGTTGAGTGGTGGGCAATCCAATTACAAAATCCATGGAGATACTATCCCACTTCTACTGAGCTACTTCAAAAGGATGGTAGAGACCAAGACTCCTTCATGGCATTTCGCGAGGTTTTCTTCCTGTGTATGCTGGTCTCGACCCTCTCCATCACCCAGGTAAGAAACTCTCATTCAATTGTCCCGCAAGAAGCTCACAATTTGGATATCTTACTCTTACAGGCTTGCCAGTTTTCTCGATCCTGCACTGATATCACCTTCGACAGGAATTCGACCGTGATGAGAGCCATTTGCAGCACATCCAATATGGAAAGGAGGAACGCCTCCATCGATGTGAACAATTGCGTGGGCAGCAGCAATGGTGTCCTCGACTGCTCATCCAACTTTGCCTCACGATGCACCAACATCAGCTTCAATGGGCTCAACGTGGCTGCCCGTTGCAACCGCGGGGATGGCATTCTCGTCTCTTCCACTCGCAACCTCGACGATTGCATCCAGAACGTCGAGGGAGTTCTCCAGTGCTGCTAGATCCTTTTGGATGATCAAACTATATCCATATGATGAATAACTGAGTGATCTCCCACATGATCTCTCCTTGTTTGGCACGTATGTGTCGCTGTTCTGATCAAATAAAACTTACTCATGGAAGTTGTGGGTCTTTTAAGACAGACTGGAAAGTATTACTTGTACAACTTTTTTTCAATTTGCATAATGAAAATACTACAAAGACAAATCGATTTATATTAAATTAAGGTATATTATTTCTAATAAATGACAATTTCTTTCACTTTAAAGCCTATGATCCCTCCTTATTAATGTGCCATTTCATCAAGGATTAAAATCATAAATGTAGTCGACATGGGCTTGCTGCTCCTGATCACCAAAGATGATTGACAACACACGATCATACATGTCAAGAATATTGTCTTCAAATACAGGATTATTTTACCTCTGGTTCGGCAATTTTTGGGGTGGAATTGGACAATGGCGACCAATCCAGCTGATTAGCAATCCTAGCCATCACTGTAAAAGACAAAAAGTTTAAATCACGTATGAATCAGGTTACGTGCTTGGACAGACACACATGCAAGCGAGTGCAGACATGGACCATGATGTTTCAAAAGAAACACAGAGATCATCAAATCCAAGCGAGGCATATTCAATCGAGATTGAAGAACAGGCGTACCTGTTTCATTCTTCACTGGCCGAGAGGTCACAGTAGCAGCCACCAAGAGGACGAAGAAGAAAAAACTTAGTGCGCGAGACATGATCTAGAGTTCCTCTTGCAAAGAAAATCTATCAAAGAGAGATCGATGATATGATCAGCGTTTGTGTTGATATCGTATATATGCTGCCGAGAAAAGGTCAAGCGCTGAAGAACCGCCACGTCGACATGCAAAGCGGCAGTTTTGACTGGATGGCTGGAAACCAGACTTCCAGTTAGCTTTTCCCTCTCCAATTTTACTGGAATTCACTTGCGATAATTCTTTTCATATGCTAATGTTTATTAACTTCTGCACTTTCAAAATTCTAGAAGCGATGCCATCAAAATGGCTAGAGCTCCCAAGATCCTGGAGGGACTTCCACTGTTTCCACCCGATCTTTCGTCAGCTTGGAAAGCAGGATAGTTCCGGCACTGCGGTGATTTCACAATGTCTCCAAGGCGACTATCACCATACACATCTTGGTTGCGGTACCACGTCCACAGGGCATGGGTATTGTTCTTCACCTAAAGAGAAAAAGAGCAAAATCAAGAGGTTGAACTCTCGGGGTTACCTCCAATAGGCCGTGACCAAAGCTTCCATCTCGCAGCGCGCTCCATTCCGGCTGCCTGTCCCAGCAGAATTGATTCGCCGCTGGCCCGGAGCCGAAGTTTTGAGCACAAACTCCACCGACTTAGGGGACGTTGTCCTCAGGCTTGGGGCACTTCCCCGGATCGTCAGCGTGCTCCGTGTCCACTGTCTTTGTATTGCCGCCATCGCCCACCACGATGTAGAGCGCGGGTCCAGCTCGTAAGTGTAACTCTGTTCTCATAGGCATGGACCTGGAAGAACACCGAGGATTCCTGTCGAGATCGAGAAGAGAGAGGGATTTTCATGGCCATTGGACAATGTCGACGCCGGCATTGTAGAGAAGCTCCTCCATTTCGAGACGCATGCACTCGACCTCGCGGTAGTTGTAGCTGTTGTACCACGGCGGATGCCACGATCCAGGGCGTGAGGAGCCTGTTGACGCGATCCTCCCAGCATCAGGAAGTGGATGCCGCCGACATCGAACGAGTACTAAAGGCTGGAATTCGATCCAGGAGGCACCGAGAACCTGGCCTTGTATGTTTTGCCCAATGCTTGGGGCTCGATCTCGTGGTTGGCACCTCCTCCATGAATCTGGGAGCAAGGAAATCAGGGATTGGATTGCGGATTTATAGTCTTGCTCTCTCTTACCTCCCCTAGTGATCCCAGTGGGGATGATAAGTCTCCCGGATTGGCGCGTCTGGAAATGCACAGCTAAAGCAGGGCGATCCAGTGCCATTGGTGATGTATTGATCCGAGTATGTGAGATCGCCCACCATGAGGAGGAGCGAGGGATCGTTTCGGATGACGTGATCGACCGTGGCGCTCGCTTCTCACCTGGAACAGCACAAACAAGGAATGTCAAGTTCTCTCGCTCGAGCTCTGGAAGAGTTACCTCCTCTGCGCTGCTCCGGCTTTCAAACTCTTGAATGTAAGTTGGAGAGCCCTTCGAATAGCACAGTGCCTGATTGCCCGACTTGGGCGATGCATTTGATGACCGAGCCGCAAAAATTTCCCTCCTCCTCGTCTTGTTGGTCATCGAGATCTCGCCTCCCAGAGCAGCAGCAGCAGCAGTAGCAGCCATGGCTTTCCATCCCAGCAACTAAGTGGCTGATTTCTCGATGCCACAAAAGGAAGCTTTAAAATAATCCTCCTCGAAGAAAGAAGAAACTCGTCACCTCACTGGAGGTGTCGCTTGATCAAGCTCATCATGTCCCAGTCCCTCTCTCGAGAGCTCCAAGCATGAGGATGGACTGCGCGCCGGCTCGAGCTCACCCACCATCTCCGCGGCGCGCTCCGCCCGCTCCACGTCGCCATGCATCCGGCACCCGCTCAGCAGCGTCATCCAGCCCGTGACGCACTGCTCGAACGGCATCCTCTCCACGAGCTCCTCGGCGTCCTGGAGCCAGCCGCAGCGTCCCCAGCCAGCAGATCCACCAGGCACATATAATGCTCCCACAGCAACTCCACCTCGCTTTCGCAAACAACACGCAATATTGTATTATGAACTTCCATTTCTTGTCCGCATGTCTCTGAGATCGTTGCACTGCTCAAGGCATACCGTCCCGAATGGAGTCCAGCCGCTATCAATTCGGCAATCGTAACTACAGGTAACACTATGTGCTTTCCAGAAGAAAACAATCGATTATTTTCTCTTGTCACTGATAACTCTGGGGAGCCGATGAAAGACGCAGCATTGCTCTCCGGCACCTTCGGTGGAGACCACATCAACCCAAACGCGGCTGCTCATCCGGGCCTCGTCTACAATGCCAAGGCACCCAAATTCACGAACTTTCTGTGTGAATTGAGGCAGGAAATACGAAACGTCTCCACTTTCACGAACTTGAAACCATCTGTTTCACTAGACGACAAATGGCTTCCAGCAATCTCAACTATCCCTCCATCGCGATCTCTTCGCTCAAAGGAAAGAGAATCATCCACCGGTGAGTGACAAACGTAGACGAGCAAGCGTGGAGGCTCTGGACGGTGTTTCGGTATCGGTGCGCTAACACCCGCCACTTTTGGAATTCCTGCCTGAACCGTTGCCTTCTCGTAGAATTGGAAAGCAGTCGAAACACTCCATGAGGATGTCGTTGTAACCCTTGCAACTGCCTTCGTACTTCTTCCAGTTTGTTTGGCCTGGGTTTATGTAGGACTTCGTACTTGTCAACCGGCGGTGTCGAAATCCAACGTCGGGTACCGTACATAGATATTTAACTTCTGATTTGAGAAGAGGGAGGGGAGGGTTCAGAAACTTCAGAAACTGAAACCCAAGCGCATCAATTTCCGTTCCACATCTTACCCACAGTCCTCCAACAAATGCAGGATGCGACCTCTGTGTGCAAGTTGACTTCGCTGCTCTCAAGTTCCGGAAGATGGCGAGTCGGTGGTTTGATACGCGAGTTCGTCGCAAAGAACATGAACCGGTTACGACTTGGTTGCAGTTGAAGAAGCTACTACTCGCTCGGTTCTTACCTCAGCAATACGAAGAGCAGCTGTACATGAAGTGGCAGGATCTTTGTCAGGGACCAGAGGAGTCTGTTACTAATTTCACCGAGCGCTTCCATGAACTTCAAATTCGGTTGGGTGTACACGAAGAAGAGAAATGGCTTGGGACTTCGACCTGGTATTCGAAAGGAGTTAGAGACGAAAGTTTTCAAGTCATTCGTCATGAATCACAACTGAAGGAGTTTCGATAGCGAGTGAATCAAGTGCACACAGCTTCCGGTGCTTCTGGCGGTCGTGCTCCCGTAGCTACGCGTTTGCAGTATGACCAGGAACGTCGTCCAGCACCTCACACGGGATCCGGAAGTGGCGATGCGGCGAAATTCAATGGCCGGTGCAACTATTGTCAAAAGTTTGGCCACAAAGCGTCAGATTGTCGTACTCGGATTGCCAACGTTGCTGCAGGACGCACCATCATAATATGGGGGATGACGATGAAGTGATCTCTGTTGCTCCATAACAACAGATTCGACCATCTGTGGGCGTAGCCGTCTTGAATAACCATGCGAGTGCTTCTGAGGCTTTGTTCACAGCGGTAGCTCAAGTGTGCAATAAATTGTTATCGGTCACATTTGACAATGGCTTCCAGCGTGATCTTATTTCTGCCGATGTTGTGCCACGCTTACGTTTGAAGCTGCTACCACACCCTCAACCGTACGAAGTCGAATGGTTGCAGAAGAGCCATGTTCTTCGAGTCACACAACAGTGCCGTGTTTGGTTTTCAATCAACAGTTCTCCGATGAAGCGCTTCTGGACGTGTGTGAGATGGACGTCGCGGGAATCATTCTCAGCAAACCATATCAATGGCTGAGGCGACCTCAGTACGACGCATTTGCAAATACATACTTTTTGAGGAAGGACGATAAGAGGTGGCTACTGCGGGCGTCGTCACCTACAAACAAAACTCCACAATCGTTATTGATTTCTGCAAAAGAACCGGTCGTTAACATCGGAGAATGGTGGCATTGCTTTTGTGGCGTACCTCAGAGAATCAAGCCAAAGTTCTGAACATGTTCAAACTGCTGCACATGGATTATCAGCTGTTGATCGTCAGCGTATCCAGGCAGTCGTTAATCAATTTCGAGATGTTTTACCTGAGGAACTTCCATTCGTGCTATCGATCTGAACAAGATTGAGTTTGTTCCTGGAGCGAGACTTCCAAATCACCGACCTTACAGAATGTCGCAAACAGAAGTGACTGAGATGATATGACAGGTACGAGAGTTGCTGAGTCCCAAAGGTTTGATTCAGCGCAGTGTTTCA